ACTGTAATACAAATAGTTGAGTTTGCCAGGTGCATACAACATTTATGACAGGTTTTCATGAAAGTATTGGTCAGTTTGTCTGCTTGACAATCACATTTTGCACTGCAGCAATAAAATTGAAGTGAGATTTAAAATCGCAATAATATTGTATCGTGACAAGTATCGTGATAATATCGTACCGTGAGGCCTCTGGTGATTCCCACCCCTACTGTCTATACACAAAGTAATTGTGTGGACAGTTCATTGATGGAGCTGATTATATGAATCAGGTACGAGAGAGAGATGCAGAGCAGGGGGACGCGAGGAACAGGGTTAAGAAGCACTGCTTTAGAACAGTGACTATGTTTACATGGACATCAGTAATCTAATTATTTACCTTATTCTGAATAAGACAATATTATGATTAAGGTGTTTACATGAGTTGCTGTTAAAATATTCCTTTCATGTTCCCGTTTTACATGTTATAGTACATAGATCGATTAATGGCACGTCATTACGTCACCAAGCGACACCATCCCCTCCAGAATTTCACATATAAACATATAGTTAATTTTTAATTTACTGAAAGCTTCAAGTTATTCAAGTGACGCTATTCTGTGTCAGCCGCGCTGCACGGATGCACTGTTTTCATTCAAATCAAAGCGTAAATACACATAGAAAACGTATCCTTGTGTTGCGGCTGACAAAGAAGTTTTGGGTCGTAGTAGTTTTGACGGCATGGCAACAACTCTTCTTCTCTAAAGCAGCACAACATGGCCTTGCCCCCTTTGTTCCATGTTCCCGGGGGGCGGGGTTTATGTAAATTTCAGGGTTTGTGATGTCACTGACCCGGGAAGAAGCTTGTTGTAGTCCCTTCCAGCTGTTTTTGTAGGCATTAAACTGCCATAATTTTAAAGGACAATATCTCCGTTTGCGTTGAACTTTGTGTTGTAAATTACAAGTAAGCAACATTACACACTAAATAACGTTAAAAAAGTGAAATCACAATCAGCCACCCCTTTAATTACATTAGCTGGGAATGGTTTTCTTGTGTTGTGTTTCATGGGTTTGATTGTCATATGTGTGTTGAAAATTTTAGCGATTCAAGTGAAGCCTTTTGGACACTCTGTTGGCATCTCTTGTTCCGAGAGTGTTGGCACAAGTCTTGAACCTCGGTATTTCACATCAACACCAATTAAAAGGCCACAAATTGAAGACACCACGATCAATGACAGCTCAACATGCACCTCAAAGCAATTGTCAGATGTCAACTATGAGCCTGATATCACTCAAGAAGGCAGTGAAAAGTAAGTCTAGTTTTACATATGTATACACAGGGTAGATGTCAGGGCTTCTAGGGGAGGTTTGAGATGATCAAAAAAGATCCCTCATTAGAAAATAGGATATGACTTGGCAAGCTATATCTGTTTGTCCAGGGTTTGCCAACCACTCTACAAAGCCAGGAAATAAATGGGGCGAATTCCAAACAGAAGTGAGCATCCCTATGCCCTACTCCCTTCGAAGGGCAGAGCCCTTGACTTGTGTTCTTTGCAGGGTGTAGGGCATTACTGTCTCGTATAAGCGTTTGGAACTCCCTTGGCAAAGGGAATGACTGACCAAATGTTACCTTGACAATGCTGCGCGTGCGTGCAGCATTCAGCGCTCCACCAGTTGTTGCAAACATATATTTCTTCTCCTTATTTTATTCAAATACTGTCTAATTGTGTCTTATTTACTGTTAAACTTTTTCAAACTAAACTTGCTTACGTGTTCACATTATTTCACTTAATGTTTTACTACATTTTAAGTGAACATATTTCTATAACTGACAAAAAATATTTTGTATTACATTAAAATATAAAGACAAATTTAATTAGCCTATTGTACTTACGTTTGTATGTGAAGTCGAATCAACCCCAACTTTGCTTTAAAATACATCGCAAGATATCCTAACCGAAGATCACATGATCACAAACGAAAATCACTTTCGTGAAGTGACCATCGCATGTTCCCTTCACTAACGGACTTCCGGAAGGGCCCTTCGTCAAGGGATTCAGTTGTTCACTTTCATTTGGAACGTCCCTACAAATGGCGTCCCCTTCCCGAAGTGCCCTTCAAGGGCGCAAAAAAGCCATTTGGAATTCGCCAATGGTAAATGAAGACAATTTGCTACAGCTATTTCAGAAGTGTACAACATGCCACCATACTTGCAGTTGACAATTTTGTAAATGGGACATTTGTATCTATCACACAGGTGATGATAATTGTAGCAATGACAAATTGGTACAAACAATTTTTTTTTTAATTTCATTATTTATTTGGTATTGTCCATATAGATTTTATTGTTTCAATTTTGCATAGGTCTGTTCACAGTGCCTCCACAAAAAACAGTGGAACAGCCAGCCATTCATCTGAAATACACCAGCTGGAAATCTGCATTTGTCGGCGGCAGTAGCCTTTAGTGGCACATCTTACATACAGATCCATAAGGTTTGTCTTTTGTTAAAATGATCTATAAACGGGAATTTTCAAGGTTATTTCTGCTGATGTCATGTGATATTTTCCAGGTCCTGTCAGCTCTGTCTGGAATGCATTTGTCATCAAAAGGTCTTTCTCCAGCCAACAATCTTGTGGCACTGGAGGTCTGAACAAAATACAATTTTGGAGAGGGTAAAGTGTTCTGGAAATGCTGTTGTCTTGGATGGTGACATGAGAGCTGATTCAACAGGTTTGTTAATTTTGCATGAAAAGTAACTTTCAGTTTCATTTAGTCATTCAAACCAAATAGTATGCATTCTAAATGTCGGCAAACATTGGATTAAAATGTTGTACAATGTGACAAGCTTGCTTAAAGGGATGGTTCACCCAAAAATGAAAATTCTGTCATTAATTACTCGCCCTCATGTCGTTCCAAACCTCTAAGAACACAAATGTTGTTCTCCTCCTCATGCCGTCTACCGCAGCATATTTTACTCTGTAGTGTTACTAATTGACTCTAATATAAATGTTATGTAATGTAATAACACACAGACAGTGTATTTCAAATGTTTAAGTTTTTAATTATGGTTTTGCAGTCATACAGTTTTAACTATCTTCAGTCCTACTCTGCTGCTGCGTCATTTATAGCCTGGTTAATAACATGATACTCATTCTGCACTTTTGTCACAAACCTGCCTAACCTCCCTACAACACAGTCTTTCAGAACCAGCGTCCATGCTCTGGCAGTAGCCACAGGAGCACCTGAATGAGAGGTATAGTGATGTTTAGACAGTTTAACTTGATAAATTAAAGTTGTTGATTGATCATGGGAAGCAAGTCAGTTATCTGCCAGCAGAGCTGGGTGGTAACTGATTACATGTAATCTGAAATACGTAATCAGATTCCAAATATTAAGTACTTATAATTAGATTAAATTATGTTTTAAAATACTCGTAATCAGACTACAGTTACTTTTTTATGGATTATATGATTACATATTTACACCAGTGGTTCTCAAAAATGTCCTGGACGACCCCTAGCTCTGCACATTTTGTACGTCTCTTATCTAACACACCTGATTCAACTCATCAGCTTGTTAGTAGTAAAATACTCGTAATCAGACTACAGTTACTTTTTTATGGATTATATGATTACATATTTACACCAGTGGTTCTCAAAAATGTCCTGGAGGACCCCTAGCTCTGCACATTTTGTACGTCTCTCTAATCTAACACACCTGATTCAACTCATCAGCTTGTTAGTAGAGACTGCAAGACATACAAATGATAAGGGAGACATACAAAATAGTATATCCATCTGGCGAGCCACACATACACCTCAAAACATTATAGATTAATCTGCGCTGAGGAGCTGTGCTGATGCACAACTCACATAAAGATGATAATTCCGCAAATAAATGCAATTGCAGGTTTCAAAAGCAAAACTTACGGACTGCACCTTTAAATGAATTGCATCTTTATCATTACATGTTTTACTACAAATATATTTAAATTCATAACAAGTTTCAATAGAAATTACATAATTTATGTGGTGTTAACCATAAATACTTGTCAGTATGTACACTGTGTGGCGGGAGGAGCAAACGACAGACAAAGTGGGTGGCCTCAGGCCTCGCAGAGGCTTTTATTGAACAGAAATTCATGAGTACACACTTATATATAATAAACAGAGTAAAGGTTATGCGTATTTGGCGTGCTGTCCGAGGGGAGGGCTCCGAGCTCGAAATTTTGGCCCAATCCCAGAGTACTCCCCCTTCAGGTTAGGACAGAAATAGTTGTAAGTGCGGAGAAGGGGTGGCGGAGGGATTCTGGAAAAACTGTCAAGGAGCAGAGGTGAGTCTGCTGTGTATATATACACACCTCTCATCTTGTTAATTGGGTTGATTACTCATCGTGCTCCTCTCGTGTTAATTATCTGAATGTGCTCCTCCCGAACTTTAATAAAACACCATTAAAACAAAATGTCCAAGGAGAAGGCGTGTCCAAAATAAACGGGATCTGGTGTCCTCGTTGTGCTGGGGGAATTGTAAAGGAAGTGCAGTGTTCAGACAGGAGGGGTCTAGGTAAGAAGTGGGGTCCGGCTGCCCCGTGCCTCACCATGCGCCGCCAGCCCCAGCTGTTACTGCGCCCCTCCTCTCTCACACACCCACTGCTGTCACTGATGGGATTCTGGTGAAGGGTGCCGATGATAATTAGGGGGAGGCAGACCTTCTCTTACAACTGATTAAGGTATACAGCTGAACATACTGACAAGCACTTATGTAACTGTTACAGGACTTAAAGCATAGTGTAACTCCTTTTTGAAATATTACTTACCTGGTCATACTTATTTGGCGAGTTAATTATTCAAGTTAACATTCAAAGTGATAAATAAAGAATTGCTAAAATGAGAGGTTTAATCTCTCTAGAACTAAAACAGGAATGGTTATTATTTACAGATTATTATGTTTTCTTATTAAAACACATTTTTGTGAATTTTCACAATCAGTCTTTTTTAATGTGGTTCACAGGAGTAATGTGTTTATGGAGGAATCACAGCAGTGGGAGGATCCTCTGATGCAGCTGTGACAGAATCCTCTTGGATCAGAGCAGCTTTAGCAGGAACCTCTGGGAGCAGGGAGGTTGAGAGAGGAGCTCTGGGACTGAAGCAGCCTTGAACACCAGCTCTGGCTGAAGCTACGACCGCAAACACTGGGACGGCCTTGACTGGAACTACTTTGCTGTTCTTTACCATCATGAGAGGAACCTTTGTAGTGGACAGGACGGGCGTCAGTGTGACTCGGTCAATCATGTCAGAAACCTCTTCTGGGAGTGCACTTCAGGCCGGGACAAGAAGCTCTGGAACCAGTGGCTCTGGAAAGGTACCCTGTGGAGTGACCTCTGTGGTGCCTGTGACTCTGATCTCTCTGACCTCAGCAGATTCTGGAGCAGCAGCATTCACATTGTTTTCGGAAGTGGCCCTGATTTCTTTGGGACTCATTTGTCCGTGGCAGGAACTTTAGGATCAGACACAACCGAGGCCTGCCAGCCCCGCAAGACGCTAAAGCTGGAGAGATGGAGGGGTCACCTGTCCCAGACCTCCAGACACAAGACTGACCCTCTTCACCAGGACCTGAAACACAATGAGAAATTATACAAATTACACAAACATACTTCATAAGGTATAAAAATACATCTGACATCATGTGCAGTGTATATGGATTGACTATATACTAGGGGTTGCACCGACTAGTCGACTTCAATGCTCTGCCATGATGCTTTAAGCTTGACGTCGACTAGTCGCTGGTCCTATAGACCAATTATCGGTTTGTAAACATTCAGGATGTGCGCGCATCACGGTTGCAGAAAACCCGGGAGAGATAGCCTTTACAGCTAGAGAATTTCACGGATACGGTACAAAATTTAAAAAGATTATAAATTATATTGATTAGATGTCATTTTCAAAATGTTCTCCGCATATTACAAGAGCTTGTCACCCAGCGATAAGCACTGTTACTCAAAGAAATTGACGTTAGAGAGTGCGATAGTCTTACAGATCCGAAACAGGGGTGATGTTTGTTGTGGGCGGAGCCTATCTGGAGGCAGAAAATGGCGGTTTTCAAGCGGCAGTCT